CTTTAACGACTTTTTTCTCAAATAGTTCATTAGTTCTATTTCATTTAAGTCGTTGGAATAGGTCAGTCGAACTGAGAATTCCTAAAGAAAAAAATAAAAGTCGAAAAGTTTTTTGAATCTCGAATAGAACTTAACTAGCTAGCGATTCGAAACCGACGTGAATTAAGAATCTAAAAAAATACGTAAAAGTTCCGACCTTTTTTCGTAATTTCGGATCGCTGGAAATCCGGCTTTTTTAGATTGACGGTCATTTATGCCGAAGAGCACGGAACAATGGCGGGTTATTAGTTACAACTGAATGTAACATGATTTTTTTTGCATTCTTTGTTTTTTAGTCTTTCAGTTGAATTCATTAAACTGTATGAATAATTACTGCAAATGAATCAAATCGGACAAAAAGTGAATTAATTCATTCATTTCCATGAATTAGGCAGGTAAGATTCATGAAATAAACATTTTTTCTAACTATTCCAGATTTTTCACAATCCTTATCCAAAATATGAAGAAAAGTAGTGAATTACTCTATGTATCAATTCACTATATTATTCCGTAAATTTGAAACATTTAAAACAAAATTCCCATTTTGCTTAACTTTTTTTAATTATTTTATGTTTCTATTGATGTAGACAGGTAATTCAATTATTTTTCACTTTATCGCTTTTACTAATGACGCAAATATACCACTAGAAATGCAAAATAATAATTGTTTTGGCAGCAGTAAAAATAAACCGGAGCGCAAAAATTATTTCTTCAGCAGATTGTTTCCGTTTCACTTGAAACATCTAGCAAATTTGTCGCTTGAATAAGCACACGTCTGACGTGTTTTTCATTACTGCGGAAATCTCGTAATTAGACAGCATAAAGACAAGTGGGAAAGGAACGAGTAAATGCTTTTAAATGCGTTTATAATAAACACAGGATCATTTCCAAAATTTGTGAGTAAATATACAAACATTTGATAGATGCTGGAAGAAAGTACATTTTCTTATAATAAAAAATGCATCGATGTGAATTTCAAAGTCCAGTTTAAACACAATATAAATTCGCCTTACTTCTTTGCATTTAAAATTCCCGTATGCTTACGAGGTTGAAAAAGTTTTTCCTCGCTTTAGGCACTGTTGATATTCCTGCGCTTTCAGAACAAAGAATAAAGAGAAACGGAGAGGTTACATTCCAAATACAATTTCGACTTGCTTTTCGTATTTTCCGAATTTATTATCAAGCTTTCAGAAAGCACGAAAAAACGACAATGAAATTTTATATTCGCTAATGATTGTAATTTTTCCCATTCGATTTCGATCGCTGAAATATTGCAATACACTCGAAGAACAAAGAGATACAAAAAATATGCTGGTGCACGATGAAAATCGAAAATACCTATTTTAATTATTTTCTTGTTATTTGCTTTTTGGATCGCGTGCGGAATATTTTCACGAAGCACACCGGCCGTTTTGAGGCCGTAAAAATTAAAAAGTTAAACGGCGGATCGGCGTTTGGGCGTTCCGCACGCATCCAAGATTAATTCCGGTCCATAAATTTTTGAGGGATGACGCCGAATAAAAAGCAAAAAGATAAAAACAATAAAGAAAAATGGAACAGAAAAAAGGGACGCGGTCGCGGCCGGCTATTGAATTTGCTATACACGGTTCGAGATTGGCTAAATTGATGATCATAATTTCGCAAAAGCCGACATTACTTTGACGTAATGCTTGAAATAAATCACTGGAAGGTATTTACCCAAATACGCAATACTTTCTGCAAAGTATTGTATATGTTTCAGGTGTTAAAAAACCTGATTTATTTTATTCCTTCTGTGAGAAGACTAGTAGAAATGAGCAAATATCTTGTAATGAAACTTTCTTGGTGCGATAAAACTGGGCACACGTAATACTTCCAATTGCAAATATGTGATATAAGATGTCAAAATCTAACTCGTTAGCAAACGCGTACATCTTTCACAAGGTCTAGGGCAACTAATCCCAAGGGCAATTTGAATATTTGAATAGATAACAATCTCGGTCCATTGCATCACCGGCGCAGACTTTACAAAACGAACGTCGGAGGGGAGTAAAAAGGACCTTGTTAAATGTTTGCAGAGGAAAACCGTTTTCCCGGAACTCCAGAAATTGGCAACGTGACTGGATTAACGTTATTAGAACGGAAAGTCATCTCTGGCTCCGTTATGGACAGTACGGAGAATGAGGCAGTTAACATCCTGTTGTAGCGAACACTTTGCGAAAATTTACGATCTCGAGAGGCATTAGAAAACGTTTCGAAAAGACGGCAAGTTTGTAAAACTTGATGTGAAATAAAGGAGATCCAGTAGTTAACCTACAATATTTAGTTTTATAATGTACTTTCTGCTGTTCTCTCAATAATTTCTCTCGATTTATCCATATTTTTTTCCATTCTCCTTCTTACCTATTTCCCGCATCATATTGTTCCTTTTACATTTTTTATTATTCACTACGTTTTTTACTATTATTATTTTTTTCCAGATTAATGTATTATGTAAATAATTATTTAATGTATCTATGTAATACTCTTCTTGACTTACACACTTACACATAATTTTGCTGGCGTAAATATCAGTTTTATATTTGAAATATTTTTTTTTGTTTCTGTATATTGTTTTCATGTATGTATTTCAAATATGCTCTGTAGCGTCAGGCTCGAATTTTACCACTAATTAACCCTCGTATTCAAGAACACAAATAGAGCACAAAACGTGGAATTATATCATAGTGAAAGAGGCGTCCTTCAGAGTATACATATTGCTTCAATTCAGATCGCAACATGGTCGTTTCTATGAGTTGAACAAAGAAATATTAATAAAATAACAGTTGTCAGAGTGAAAAGTTGCAATGACACAAATGTCACTCTTTCTTTTTCGTTTTTAAATGTCTAATGGAAGTTGTTTCTACCGCACATATAGCCTATATAACCTATGTTGCGATCTGGAATGAAGCACAGTGTATGCATTTAATTAAACAGAAATTGGATACTATGAAATCGGCCAATCCTGCTATAACATTTTGATAATAGTCTATTTGTGTTTGATCAGCCCACGGTTTCGGTAATTTTGATTCATTGAACAACTATTATTTTAGTTTAAAAACAAAATTAGTCTCCAATTAAAGGCATGTTATTTACATAGAGCCCACATCGAACTTTTTTTCGTACAGAGCATATCTTAGAATTTATATTCAAATCAAAATACGCTCTGTAACAGTATTGAGAACTTCCTTATGCATTCAATGTGACTTATTTCCACTGAAATAAAATATTACTAGATACTTTTAGGACAACATTCATCATCATTCATCATTGAAATAGTAAGGAGCAATCAATACCGGTTCTGTATTAGTTAAGCAACTAAGAGCCAGCGTGACTTTACAAGTCCAAAGAGCGGTGTTGACAGTAAACCTCAAAATTTTCTATTGAAATATTTAGCGGAATACTGCGATGTTATGCGTATTTTGTTTCAAGTACCTTCACTTAATTAACGGTGTTTTTCTGTGGTTGAAAAACCTGAACTGCAGTCGCAATTTCAAGTCTTTTCGAACTGGCAAACAGAAAAAAATGTGTCAATTGTGCTTTTCGCAACAGCAAAAAATCCATTTTCTGATCCCGAAAGAACAGAATGTACCTCAGTAAAATCATTAGAAAAAAAAACTTGGATTATTCATGTAACATTCGTCGCATTTCAATTCAAAAGTACGCAATAAATTCATCGAGCAAAATAAATCGTCGACGTTCAACCGGCTCATAAAGATATAAAATATCAAAAACAACTCGTTTTATATTTTTCGGACCCGACTATTTCCCCACTGGAAACGGAGCCGACGTGAAATCCAGATTGTGCAGTTTATTTTCCGTGAAAAGTGTGTTCTGTATAGCTTTTCCTAGCGATGGTAAAAGGGTCGGCAAAAAAAGAAAAGTTCATTTTAACGTGCTGTGCTGCTGTATATAAAATGCAAGTCTGATACTTCTCCATTTCTAGTGCTGTAAATTAGAATTTTTATATCGGAATCTAAGTCTGAGAGAACCGAAAATTTCGCACTAAATGGAATATTTCAATAAATTTAACAATTTTATATAAAACCAAACACTAGACTGGTAAATTTGTAGAAGAACTAAAATGCTCATACAAAGAGACTTAATCAAATAATATTGAAAGCAATAAATATTGAGGTTTGTTTAGTACAAAAATATTGAAGTTACAGTTTACATTTTGTCATTTATATGAATCTATATTCAGAAAACAAATACTTACTCCCTAACATTAACGTTATGCAACTAGAAATCCAAATAATATTTAACGAATAGATAAAACTTGACTTTTCTTTTTATTTAGAACCCAAAGCGCTAGTTTGTGTAATTTTATTTTTTACAGGAAAACAATTTATAAACAAAAATATGTAATATCATACCCAGCACAGGTCAAATTAATGGCTGGTCGATTCATTAATATTGTCAACACAATATAAGAAGCATTAAAGAGCAGCGATATTTGAGGTATGTACAAAAAGGCGAAACAAAATTGCAAATTTTAGAATGAACATTAAAAAGTAAAAAATAAAAATACACTTAAACCATGAACACACCTATATACGTATGCGCGAAAAAATTTGGCATCTGTTACCGATACATCCCACAATATTATATTTTATTGTTTGATGTATATCTTATTCTACCATTATAAATAAACATAAAAGCATATTAAAAGTATTTCCAAAATATTTATAGATTTACGTTAGTATAATGAGCGTTTTTTTGTATTAATACAGGCTGTTCTAAAATGACATGCTAATATTTAAGGGGGTGATTCCTGGACCTATTTTAAGGGAAAACTTCATATGAAGCTATATCCTAAACGTCTTAACTCTTGAGATACAGGATATGTTTTAAGAAAAAAATGGTATGGAAATAAAAATTATTTTCGGAATTCTCATTCAATTTAGAACAAATTTGATATCTTGACTTTTTTCCGTAAGACTCATCGTTTCGCATTAAAAAAATAAATGCATTAATTTGTCCGCTGCCGCTACATTAGCCTCTGTGCTAAAATTAAAAAATAATAAATGTTTGATTTAGGACATATGTTCATATGAAGTTTCTTTCTTAAAATAGGTCCAAGAATCATCCCCTTAAATATTAGCATGTCATTATGGAACCCCCCGTATAATAATTTTGTAATTATCGATTTAAAAAGAAATAGGTCGAAAAGAGAAGTGTTTTTTATTAAGCCACTATTCAATTTTAGAGCCAAATTTTCTCGAGCAAATACCGTACTTTACCTACACATTTTAATCAGTACGAACGATTTTCATAGCATTTCCCCTTTTTCCCAACATTATTTGATAGTTAGCACGAATAGTTCGACGTTCTAAAACGAATCATTAATTAAATTGCTATAAATATGTAACTGCTTGTTTCTGAATCCTATACATAAATGAAATAAATTATGTATTACCGTAAATTCGATCAAATAAACTCAATGAATTTAACCTAACAAAAAAAACGGAATATTATTAATATCCCAATTATTCTGACCGACAAAACAACATAGATAAACGAATAAATATGTAGCGCCCAAAATGTTTTGTGAATTTATCCAATTGTATTATTAATTTAAATACTTGTAACTATTACAAACAGCTAGATATAATTTTTTTTCGATATATGTTGTTTGTTTAAATTAAATTACCCTCGATTAAATTCTCGTTCATATGAATAATTAATTTTACATTTTTTGACGAATACATAATTTATATTTCCTAAAAATTCGGAACAAAAAATGTTCAGCTGCAGATACTGTAATATAATTATAATATTAACTCACCAATACTGCAATTTGGAAAACAGTAATACTCGATGGGAATAAAATTTTAGAAAAAAAAAACTTACTTGTATCAATATTTCTTTGTAAATGTGTCGCAATACGATGCCGGGCATCATTGTACTCTAAATGCAAACCCAGCCTAAGTATTGTCGGATTTTTCTCAATCAAATGTGTAATTTCCATTTCTATTTTATTTCCCAATACTTGCGACCTCTGCAAAAATTTCACAAATAAATAAATCTCAACTAAACGGAATGGTAATCGACAGTCGTACCTGGTTAGTGGCCCTGAATTCCTCGACAGTCTTCTTCTTGAGCAGGGCTTTGATCAATCGGACGACGCCCTGCGGAGAAATGAAATTCGTTTCGACGTTGATCACTCTCAGGGTGCCGTTCTCCTCTATCGCCCTCGCCAATTTTTCGACGTGCCTATCGGCTAGTCCGCAATTAACCAGCGACAACGTCTCCAGGTGAGTGTTGTTGCACAGAGCTTCGAACAAATGGAACATCTTTTCATCGGAAATGTTCTACAACAAAAAAGTAAATTGTAACGATGCTGTGGCTGAATGTTCACGCTGTTGAGAATACGAGTCCACCAAAATATTATTGTTTATGGGGAATGTTATGGTAAAATTAGATGCAGGTTACCAAAGATCATCCGGATAAATCAAAAGGTGTAAATAGTTTTTTCCAAAAAAAGTGGAATATAAAAAGTTGTATATAAATCCGCGGCGAACGCTCTATTAAAACTTCTCCTTGTAATTAATAGAACAATTTAACGATTTCCTAATTTTATTTTTAGAAAATCGTCACTATTTTCGCAGCGCTTTAAGTACATGGCTATTAAAACTGGTTTTCGTAGTATTTGCAATTATTTTGCGCTTACGTTAAATTCATCAATGATCAACAGCCATTCGAAAATATCGTTTACATTATTCGTTAATTACCCAAACATAAATATTCCTAATTTTCGTGGTAATTAACTCACTTTAATGTTATTCCAATTCAAATCGATGTATTTGCTATCGTCGTCTTGGACTTTCTTGATAGTCTCGTCGGTGTCGGTCATATTCGGGGGATCCACGGGGAACAGTTTGGGTTTGGAAGCTTTCGTGATGCCGTCCCAACCTAAACCGACCGGCTGGCCTTTATTTAACAGTGACGCATGATACTGGTCCTGGTTCATCATCGAATGGAAACCGAGAATAGCTGAAAACATAGTTAGGGATTAAAAATAAGAATTTCAATTAATTGATAGGGAAATGTTTAAGTACCGGCTAAATCTATAATTTCTTCCTGCGAGGCGTTCGTCAATGCATGCTCATATTCGTCTCCTAAATCTACGGCAATCTGTTCATCGGCTTCTTGTTCTTGAATCGGAGGAGGCGGTGGAATCCACTAAAATCATCAGAAATTAATCTAAATACATATTAAAATTTTAGGCTTGCTGAACGATTGTTCGATTCAATGAATACTTATTTGCTATAAAATGTAACAAACTTACTTTTTTCCCTCGAACCATACCAGCTACATAGGGTTCTAATTCTGGCCTATCGGGTGTTTCTAAAGCTTCTTTATTAATGTAATCGATTAATTTTCTTCTATTCAGTGGGCCCGTAGGATCCTTCTCACATTCATAACTGTTTCTTTGTGAAGGAGGTAAAAAACTATCCTGTAAATTCACACAATTACTTATTCCTTGAGGAATTTATTAGAAACAGTAGGTTTCAATAAAATATTTGTTTACGTAATTACTTACATCAGGATCTACTTCTTTAGCTAAAACACTAATTTCTTCGGCCGTTAACTTATCCAATAATTCGTCTACATCTACATCATCGTACACACTCAAATCTTTTCCGTATAACTTTGCAGGAGTTGTCATTGTGGTTGTGGTCGTCTTTGTGGACGTCTGAAAATAAATTAGGGAATTATAACTAATTGAATTATTTCACACATCTATGAATTAAATAATAGGACTTTCACGAACGTAGAAAAACAGCTTGACTAACAGTTGAATTTCGGACTATTTCGCAAATACAATTTAAAGATCCAACAATACATACAAATAGGGCGTTAACCTTAATTGTATTTTTTACAATAATGGTACATTTTACCTCTTATACAACAATCCCTACCTCAATAGAATTGCTTCGTGAATAAAAAGCGCACACCCAGTTTCAAGTGACCTTATTTATTTAATTGAAGATGAGAAATTGAGAAATGAGATCACTTGTGATTTTTAAACAACCGATGACAGACGTACTTGACAGATCAATAATCAACAAATGTCAAATAGTTTAGGTTCTAATTCTACACCGGTACCAGTTTGGTATATTTCCAATAAAATAATTCACCTTTATTTCACTGTATTCTTAATAAATGACGTCACTCTTATAAATAGTTAAATAATATTAACATTACAATATTACCGACACCGATCGACTTAATTATTTATAAGATAAAAGAATGTGCGAGAGAAACAGATATACTAACATTCCGATTGATTCCGATTTATTGTTAGAAGTTAGGCAACACTTTTGACAGTTCGTAAAGTCGGTTGCATGTCGCTAATATCATATCATGTTTACGAGGGTAACTCCAAACATAGATTTAAACTTACAGTTACATACCCTATGGTGCATTTCAATTTGCAATATGGTAATTTCTATGGGTTAATGAACAAAGAAAGAATATTAAAATAACAGTTGTCAGAGTATAGAGTGAGAAGCTGACACAATATCAGTATTTCTGTCCTTTATAATTGTTTAATGGAAGTTGTCTTTATCGCACTCATAGCCTATATTGCAAACTAAAATGAATAAGTTCAAATTTGTTTGCAATATAGTCAATTTTATGAATTGAACAATGAAAGTTTATTAAAATAACAGTGGTTACAGTGAGAAAGTTGCAATCAATCATATCACTCACAATAATATGCCACAATATCACTCTTTTTTTTTTTTCTCCTATATGAGACTAATGGAAGTTGCCTTTGTTGCATCCATAGCCTATATTGCAAACAATTTTGCATCTACCTGTATATCGTAGGATAGTGTAAACCACGGTCTTACATAGAGGTCTGGAAACTAGGGCCCATTTCTTACCTCAGTTTCCAGATCTTAGAAATATACGACCGTGCATTTACATGAATGATGATGAATCAAATGAGCCTAGAGCACCTACAGATGGAAAATCGCAGTTATGCTCAAAAGAAATAGCTCAAAATAGAAGCCCGTATTGATTTATCAGCAAAATGTTATATTTTGGTAGGTACATTATGGAAAAAGGAAATTTCAAACGAAATGGTGAGAGGTGAGCAAACTTTTAATGAAGCAGATCAATTTTATCCTTTTTTTACATTCTATTTTCCTCTACTGAATGTTGCATTAATATTTCACATGAACATGCACGTGTATCTATTGGATCCAGTGATGTTCAATCAGTATCTATAAATTTAGCCACATGTTACAAATTTGTTTCGCCGTCAAAATTAATACAGGAATCCATCCTTCGAGCTGTTGGGAGGGATTTTTCCAAATGAAATTAATAGATCAGATCGTAGACAACGAAATCAGCTGAGCAGCGGCGAATTTTTCGAAAAGTTGTTCCTTCCAAAACAAAAATAGTCGTAATATCGCACACTCTCAAGGTTACACACAGGGCGCCCCATCAGTCTGTGCCTGGCCGTGGCTTTGGCATAACTCCAACGCGCTATAGTTGGACAAGATTCGATTTAAATTTATTTATAGGCTGCAGAATAAATGCATTGTTGCCATATATGGCATATATTTGGAGGAAAAAGGAAATTTTTATGAGTACATATGAGATCCTAGCATAAGTCCAAGTTTGTAAGTAGGCTTGAAAGCTCTGAAGAATCGATGCATCAGTTGAAAGAAGTTGTGCCTTTTATGAAACTTCTACAAACTACGTTTGTAGAAATGTTCAATGTATAAAAATTTTCTACATAAAATGAATATTAAATTATCCCAGCACTAAATTTTTATAATTTTGTTTAAGATTACTAAAAAAAGGTAGGGTGGACAGGGGTAATAGCGCTCACCTCTGGATAACTCTGTGAAAATGTAGTACATAGAGGTAGCTCATGTAGCTCTCTACCAAGCTTGAGACATGATGAAAAAAAGGCAATTGGATATTAACAGGATGAAATTTTTATGTAATTTTTAATTATCCAACCGCGGTAATTGGTATTTCGACACGCATGGGACTAAGCGTGTTAAAGTCGCAGCGTGGGAGATAAAAATAGCCAGGATGATAGTCTACATCCGTAGAGAAAATCGTAGGTATCTACTGAAAATAGGAGAAATGTATGAGAATTTGTGGTACAAAGTATCATATACTAATTTAACTCTCCTCGAACCTTTCTGTTCATTTTATAACTTTACTTACTTAACATTAACAGAAGTATTGATTACACTCTTAAATCTAGCACTTCTTGATATCATAAAAGAGATATTAAATCGAGAAATTAATTTAGAATAAAAGTGGAGAAGTTGAGCATACTAAAAATAAGAGCGCCATTAAAATTATGTTCAAAATTGACAAATTATGCGAACATTATTCAATATTGGTACATTTGCAATATGGATCCAATCGAAAATGAATAAAACTTAAACGTTTAAAAAATTGGCAACTTGACATTGCCAACGTGGAATATGTGGGATAAAAGGATATTTTCAAACCTATTAATGAATGCGTTAATACGAATTAATGATGTTAAAATTTCAGTGTCAACAATTACGCAAGTAAAAAAATCTAAACAGCCACATTCTATTAATTAGAAAGATATAGTAAGACGAATATACAGATTGATTCAATTTAATTTGAAATATAGGTTATATAAGCTATGGGTATGATAAAGACAGCTTCCATTAGACACTTATAAAGGAAAAAGAAAGAGGGATATTGTGTCATTTTAACCTTTCTCTATTCAACCCATAGAAATGACCATATTGGTAACTGAAATGCATAGGGTATACAATTTTTTCTAATAATAAGTTAGTAAATATTAATAAAATTTTTAACAAATTTAAAATAGTCACTTTTTCATTAAGAAATATTTAAGGATAGTTTTAGAAAAAATACAGGTCTGCCACTGTTTTTACATGCTCGAAAGAAATCCTCTTTAGTGTTCTAGCCGTTACTCATTAGTGAACGTGCTGAATTCATTATTTTGAAATACAAAATACTTTTATTGTTGCTAAATTGGGGCTATTGACCGCATAGCTTCCAACTATTAGGAGATTAGGAGTAGTTTCGAACAAATATTGACTATAGAGGCCAAATTGTATGCAAATTAGCTGTAATTTTTAATAGGTTTTAAAAAACCCATTCAAACCAGTTATACAATAAAAGTTAACGACGCGTTAGAAAGAACAATAGCAGTAGTATACCTAGTAGTAACTTAGTAACTTAAAGGTAGTATAATAGCATTAAAAAATAAGAATAGTTTCTTCACACTTCAACCTCTTGCATGGTAGAGGAAGAATACTTTCATTATCTTCAACATTTTTATTCGTGTTTAGAATTGCTTAGGAAAAACTTTATCTTCTATATACTTATTGGAAAATCGAGAAGAGGAAATAAATGTCAATAGCAAATTGCTGGCAATTACAAATCTATTTCGAGATTTTCCTGCTTGTACAACGACATTATCGACTGACGATGCCCAGAATAGAAATAGCTGAAGCGTTGAATGACTCTTGTTTTACAAGCATTTTGACTTTTTATTGCATCTTTAGAGTTCAGAGGCGCATTTAATATTAGAACTATACGTACATACCTAAGCAACATTGAAATTGGTAAAATAAATGTAGAAATAGTGCACTCACTCTTGGTGGGTGTAACAAAATTTCATTAATTTAGGTTACCTAAATAAACCAAAGTTTTACTATTCGGATCTAAATACTTCTTGGTAGATACTCAGTTCATAGTTTAGTGTAGGTAGGTAAGTATCTTTTATCAGATGTATATTTCTCATAGAGATGTTTACTATTAATTCTCTTATGTGATTGTGACGAGATGTTTCACAATATCTGAAATACGCATTTTTCTCGAGAAACATGTTACATGCTGTTGAAAGTAAACAGTTTAAAATTTGGTGGATGCAACATTTTATCGGAATCATTCATTCATGGTTTGTGCAGGTATTAAAAATAGACCAATAAAGGCGATAAAAATATTTGTTCTTTATAATACCAAGGCAATTGGATATGTACTCTATTATCTACTAACATGGTATAATTTTATGGTATGATTTTAAGTTTTATGTAAATAAGTTTAAATTTTGGTGGCTATCAAAATGTCTCAATTTTAAATTTTTTTTATGTTCTATCTAGATCCGATAGATTTCCCACATTTTCTGGGACACCCTGTATAATTTTGAGCAGTTCAAATGGACTAATATATTTCTCTAAACTAAAAAGATTGATTTTAAAAAAAATTATTTTTGGAGACATATTGATAGCCACCAAAATGTAAACGTATTTACATAAAATTTTCATTTTTTCATGTTCTAACTGGATCCCAGAGATTTCCAACATTTTCCGGGACACCCTATGTGTATCTGCATTTTGCTAGAAGGTAAAATAGATAAATGATTAAGTAGTAAGTGAAATTGTTTGAGAAAAATGTGAAATATTAATGCACTTTTAATTACATCAAATTTAATAGGTGTAATTTAAATATGTAGTAGATTTACAGTTAACAGTGGATTTACACAGGTGAATGAGACTTCATTTAGAGCATTGTAGCAATCAAAAAATATTAATTTTTTGCACGTTTTATTAATAGATCTATCTCTCAATAATAAGTAAAAAATCAAATTCATTCCAAAGTAAATATTTAAATTAATCATATCATCTAGCCCCATCTCCAACTACTATGTAGAAA